AATCGATTTATTGGGGGGATTTTGTACAAAATGGGTCGAAAGGGTTTGAGTGTTGTTTGTCACAAATAGCTGTCAAAGCAGCGAGCATGCAGTGCTGCTTGTTTGCGTCTAAAAGTGTAATTTTAACACAGCACTGAATAAAAAGAGAAAAATTACAGATTTGTTTTTAAGTGAGGGAGAGAGGGTTGTTTTTGTTTTTAAATACAGGAAAATTTGTATTGTAGTAAGATCATACTGGCTAAGCACTTAAATTACGTTTGGCACTTGTAATAATTCTGCTAAGGAAATTATTGTTTGGACATAAAAGAGACAGTTCATTTAGTTTAGCTAAAAGTTCTGGTACATCTACAACATTTTTGAAGATATTTTTGTAGGTATAGACTACTCTTCTCATATTAATGTCCCTCTTGCAATAACAAATTATGTCAGCAAATGTTTGCTCTGATAGTTTGGTTTCATCAAAAGTCATTGAACAAATAATTGTCTCGAGTTGATCACATTCTTGTTCCTTTGCTTTCATTTCTTCTATTGCAGATAGTTTTGGGGGTTTTGATGACTCTGATGATAAGGATAACTGAGGTGAGAGGGGTCTTTTCTTTGAGGTTGATGAAGATTCAAAGTTTGAAAGGGATTTTGAGGTGGATGTTGAGAGGTTACGAGTGAGAGCGGGTACGTTGGTGGAGAGGGGTGAGGGGAGGGGGTTTGGAGGTGGAGGAGGAACAGCTGAGCTGAGGGGGAGACACACAGGGGGACTGGCGGGGTTTGAGGTTAGGGTTGGTTTGGCAAGGCTTGAAGGTTTAAGAGGGTTGAATTTTTCTTGAGGCTGGTTGGTTGTTGATGGATTTCTTGCTCTGGTGAGTCGTAGTAGTGGGGCTGGTGTGTAGGCTGACGAGTGGTCGTCCATTTGTTGTTTTTTCTGGCATTCATCGGTTTGGAGAGTTGAGCTGCTGTTGCAACTGCTTGGGTTTTGGAAAACTTTGACATAGATGGTGTGCTTTGTTCCTTCTGCGGTTGTAAAGTGAAGTACTTCTGGGCATGTTGGGGCGTCCCTCGGGATGTTGATGTAGAGGGATCTTTTCCAGCTTCGTATGTGCTTGAGGTCATCGTAGATGGTGTTGACGCCGAGCCTAGCCGGCCTAGAGACTGGTTTGCCGTATGCTTGTAGGAGGTTTAGTAAGTCATCGTCGGGCATTTCTGGGGGGCAGTTCGAGATGAGGAATTTTGTTGCTTCGGATACGTACTTGCGACACAGCAAGAAGGTGTCGTTGATCTTGAGACCTCCGCGGTCGCAGAGGGTGTTGACGGCGGACTCGCATGAGAGGTAAAGGCAAAATCGGCCCCCACTGAGTCTTGAGGCATAAAGGATGTTGTTGGCGCCGACAAGGTCGGCTGCAGCACGTAATAGTTCATCTGGGTTGATTTCTTGCGTTTTCTCAAAAACCACTGATGTTTTTCTTGATGGGGATTGGTTAGGCACTGGGGCTGTTGTGAGGTAAGGTTGTTGTTTGGTTAGAGATGGTAAATCTTCAGGAAAGTTTTTCGTGGTGTTTGAGTTCATCTTTAGAGCACTAGAGTATAGAAGTGGATCATGGCACGACATTTTCTAAGTATTTACTTGATGCACTTGGATGGCGTAGTCGAAGTGAGGTTAGAATCTTGGCGGCCTCGCACTTTTCTTCTTAGTAGATAATCCTTGTAGTTTCCACTTAAAGTTTTTCACTCCACTGATGGCACAAACTTAGTTTTACTCACTTTTCTTAATTTGAAGTAATAAATTCACTGATTTTACTGATAGTTCGCAATAATGTTGGGATGATTAGTAAGGGTACGCTTTCGCGGGCTTTCTCGAGAGAGAGAGAGAGAGAGAGCACGGGGGAGATGAAGTGATTTTCTTTTAAAAACGTCGAGAGCCGGCCGATAATGGAAGTGCATCAGCTCAGCCGGCCGGAGAGCCCTGGCCGGCCTGGCCGGCACGCGGGCACGGCGGGCCAATCAGACACAGGGGGCCCCGGGGGCGCTGCGCGGGCGCTTTTAGCTTGAGGGAACCTTCGGTGCGAGGCCCTTTCTCTCCCCGATTCGTGTCGGCCAGTGCAAGTGCAGGGGAGCAGGGCCGCGCCGACCGCCGTGCATGCGATGGGGCGCGCGGACGGACAGCACGGACGCCTGCTCAGCGCACGCCCGTGCCGGGCCGAGACAACTTCCGGGCCGACGACGTCTCCTCATCCTCGTCGCGCTTATCAGCTCCGCCGCGCACTTAAAATTGTATTTGCCAGCCGCCCTGAGTCAACAACCTCCGGCGGGAGAGGTGACCGCGCGGGGTGGAGGAGTGGCTTCTCCCAGCGCATGCGCAATGCGCCGAGGGGTCCCCCACTAGCCAACTCGTTGTACACGTGCCCGCGCCCAACTCGCCTAAAACTCGTAAAAACTCGCGAGTATTCACGAAAATTTGCAAAATCTCGCTCCAAATTTGGGAAAAGTAGCGCAAAACTTTTAAAAAATTGATCTCAACTCGTGCCTAACTCGCGGCAACTCGTCAACATGCCAACTCGTTGTACACCTATTTTATTTTGGAAGTGGGGGACCCTAATGCGCACTTGGACCGCGTCCAGAAAGAACGTCCGTTTACCTCATCATTCACCAACTTGCAGTGTCTTGGCGCCTGCGAGGCTCAGGGTAGGCCAACCCGCAGTGCACGCGTGCCCTGTAGGCTGTGTGTTGCCTACCTATCAGGCGCTACGAGAGCGTGTTTCAGGAGGTTGATGTGTGACATTGTACTGTTGATGATGAACTGGCTCTGACTGTGTTGTCCTCCGCATGGAGACACTGTGTCGAACGAAACTAGCAATTAGAAAGAAAGATGCGCGCTCGTCGAGGGGGCAAGAACTCCGGGAATCATGTGTTCACCTGCCTGGGAAACATCAGGATAAAATTTAATCGAAATCAATAAAAGTCGCCTAAACTAAGCGGGAAACTCGAGCAACTAGTACAAATCGTACATATCAGTCGAGATGAGCGTTTTCTACCATTAAAAAAACCTTGAAAAAAACTAAGGAATGAATGTAAGCGGACGGGAATCACTGGGAATCGCGAATTTCGGGAATCATGTGTACACTTCGAAAGGGAGTTATTGCCCCCTCGGCGCTCGTAGAGTCGAACGTCACCAAAATAATGACACCATCGTCCGTGCAAATTAAGCCCTGCCCGGGCCGAGCGGGGCACTATCCCCGCCAGCATCGCGCGCCACGCGCCGTGGTCCGACTAAACACTCGCGCCCCGCGCGCCCCGCGCCCCTCCAGCTGGAGACGCCCCCCTCCGCGCGTACCCCCTTCCACCTGCCAGCCGACGGGGCGCCGCACCACGCCGCGCCGCCGCAGCGCCGCTCAGACGTCTTGCCGGCTTCAGCCGCGTTCACACCGTCGGCGCGCCGACCGCCTCGCCGCTGTGCGCCCCCACGTGCGCGCGCGAGTGTACTAGTGTGTGTGTGTGTGCGTGTGTGTATGCCAATGAGTGTGTGAGTGAGTGCAACATGACAACCCCAAGCTGAAAGTGTCGCGTGTGCGATATAGTGTCTGTGCGTCCTGTGCGTGTGTGTGTGTGATTGTGAGAGGGAGTCTCACCCTACAACCAACACCATGCCGTCGTACAAGATGAACTCCATGTCTGGATTATCGGTGCTCAAGAAGCCTTTCTCGTGGAAGTTTGGATACCCTCGCTTCCAGAAGAAGGTGAAGGTCCATTTCCTTGAGGTGAGTCAGTGTTTGGCGACTCTTCTTGAAGGCGAAAGTCCGGAGCGGAGTGGCCGGGCTGGGCGGGCCGCATCGCCCCGCCGCCGCCGCCCCTTCCTGCTGACTTTGTCGGCAGTTTTGTGCGCGCCTAATGAGAAGGCCGCGGGCGAAAGCAGACGCGAATGTTTGCTCCTTTGCGCTGCCGGTGACTGGACGGCCCTCGAGGTGACACCACGGCGCGGCCGCGGGGTCGACGACATTCCCATAGTGAGCGCTGGTCTGATCCTCCTCCCGCCCACATTGAACAGCTTTACTCAATTTTTGCTTTTAAAACATCCGCGGCGGGAAATTTCTCGCACAGTGCGGGAATTCCCTCCACCGTGTCTCGTGTGCGGCGGCGGTGCGGCAGCGGGAGCTCCCCTCCTTGCTTATCAGATGAGTCTGTATAGCCGGTACCGTATGACGGACTGGTGCAGTCTCCATGCAAGTGCATGCGAGGCACCCTTACGAGTCGGCTGCTTTTATCTCGGTAACCGCATAACCATGATATCCGCGCAGATAACCTGAGGAGCTATGCGTTTCTAAACGGCTCTGTACACACTAGGAATCTACACAAAAAGTAGAGCAAATACATGGACGCGCGTGCGGCGTCTTGGAAATCGTGTTTCTTATTTGTTTTTTCAAAACCGCCTCCTGGGGCCTGAGGGGCAGTTGCAGCAGCAGCAGAAGCTGCAGCGACGGCGGTCGTGGATGCGAGGAAAGATGACATTGCTTCTTCCAAGTCGGTTTGTGACATTTCCCCGCGCAGTCGCGCGGACGCGCCGCCCCACTTTCCGGCTGATGATGTCCCCCGTCCCCGTGGTACTGCCATGGCGGCTCGCCCGCAGAGATCCAACACGTCCATACTGTAAATCGCTCCGCATTAGTTTGGAGGTTAATTAAGCAAACGTTCCGAAAATAGATACAATCATTTTTGGACGTGAATTGACGTAAATTAATGCTCGGGACTGTTACGTCCACACTGTGAACGTGATTTTAAAATTTGTTTGCACTGTTTAAATCCTGCAAAGCAACACTTTGCAGAACTGCGATGTATTGAGACCCTTTGTAATTACGAAGCATTTACTTCGCTATTACAAAGTGATGCTTTGCAATTGCGAAGCAATGTAAACACGCTAAAAAAATCGCTTTGCAATTGCAAAGCATCACTTTGTAATTGCAAAGTAAATGCTTCGTAGTTACAAAGGATCTAAATACTTCGCATTTCTGCAGAAATAGCGCAAAGTGTTGCTTTGCAGGAATTTAACAGTGTGCATCCAAAAAATCACTTCTTTGAAAAAACTTAAGGAAATTTTTCTCTTTTTCCAAAGAAATTTCTTTGGTCTAACGACAAAAATTCCTCAAGATGAAGACTTTCCTCCAAATTAAGGAAATTTTCCCTTAAAGAAAGGAACAGTTTTCGTATTGTTGATTTCAGGTCACTTTCGTTGATTCAACGCTAATTTTAAGGAAATTGCCTAGTTTCAAGGAAATCATTTTCTGGGTGTGTGGCGGTGTGTGGTGAGGTAGTCAAAAATCGGTCACAAATCGACCTTATGTCATTTATCTCCTTATTTGAAGTGTGATCATTGTTTACATTCATACACACACAAAGAAAACTTTTGTTACGTTTCTGACTTTGAGTACATGTACTTTTAGTACACGGGAGTTAAATAAGTCCAACGATAGCGCTGTATGGTGATATGAATTAATAATACTCCAAGCATTATTTATCATTTATCGAGGAAGACCCCTTAAAATCACTGTAAAACGTAGAGTGAGTTTTCTTGCTCGAATAGCTTCATCGCTTCGATGGAGCGATGTCTGCGAAATGACTCAAAATGAGTCTTGTTCGTTACCAAAAATGTCGCGAAACTCACTCCAAACGAGCGATTTAATTGATATCGCTCCCCCAGGAGTCATAAAATTAGATTCACAACCTCGCTCTTTCTGGATTGAATTTTCTCACTCCTTTGCTTGCAGTGATATAGGGTAAGGGGCCCAGTAGTCGACAGTACACCAGTAGTCGACACTTTCAACTTTGAGATCGAATTCCCGCGAAGTAGTTAACGTTAGAGTCTCGGGCGTTTTGCCAGGCTTAGGCGCACTCTATTGAGATTACAATGAACCCATTGCCGATTCTGTGCCACCTTCGGGAGCCGGTAGGGAGCGCTTCGCACAAAACACTGCTTGTCGCGTCACATCGAGCCATAATTTCTTAGCTCCGGAGCAGTGGGCAGGTGTTTGCTTGGAAGGTTCTGTGAGGCTGCCATTCACCCGAGTGGTTCGGGAGGACGTTTGTGTTGTTGTCAAAGATATGTATTATCTTTCCCTATTTAGGTTTTCGAAAATTTCGGTCAGGGGCGCAAATAACGGCGGTGTCGACTACTGGGCCAGAAAAAGACATCTGTTCCAGTAGTCGACACTTACTTTATTTTGAGTGTGTGCTACCTTCATACGGGCTTATTCCGACAACTAGGCCCTTTGTCAACGTGAAATGTTGTTGGGATCGTGTGTCCTTAATTTTCTAGTTCATAATACATCATGATGACATCAGTAAAGCACCAGGTGTCAATACTGTGCCGAATGATAGAGTTTGCTTTCAGTGCCCCATTTGCGTAAAGCATTTCTCTGCGAACGTGCCCTGGCTGCCTGAGAAAAGTGTCAGCAGACACAAGGGTAGAGGGGTGAGGGGGGTGGGGGGTTGGAACCCCAATTGCACCGCCGCAGTCGCGCCAGTCCGGGCGGCTGGCCGCTAGGGTGGAGTGCAAAACTGGGATTGAACAAGTATACCTGGAATAAAGTACTTCAAGATATCCCAAGCTTGAGGAAATTGACACTTTTTACCCCCCTGGGGCCGTGGGCATAATCCCGGGAGCGGCTATATGCGGTTCGGTGTGGAATTTATATAGGGATATAACTCAGGTGTCGATACGCTGTGCGATAACATCTTCAGCTTGCCCACAAGACATTTTAGGTAACAAACTAAGGTTTAATTACCAAGCTATTGCCGGCACTTCCCGGTCTTCGTATGTCACATCGTGTCGCCCAATACATTATTAGGTGCGCTTTGAGGCGACAGAACTGTTTCATTTTAGACTAATTGCGCTAAGAAAATTATTTTCGGATATGTAGCCAAAAAACGACGTTATTTAGAACTAGAAAAAAATGTGTTTCACCATATTTCAAAAAAGGTCGCCTGAAGGCCGGAGAAGGTGAACAGCACCTCGCAAAGAGGGCCAAGAAGGACACCCTGATGGCCAAAAAGCCGACCGAGAGGCAGGGGAAGGCTAGCCAGGCTGCAGGGACCCATCAGACACGGCAATCCGGGTAAAATGACAGAGTGTCGACTACTGGGCCAGGCAGTGTCGACTACTGGGCCAAAGGTGTCGACTACTGGGCCAATGAACATTGTTTTTTGGTTTACATTTTTGTGTACAAAAATGTATTTATTTCCATTTTTGGCCTATGGGGCATAAAGTTTGATCCTTCCACTACACCCCCGAAATTTTTCCTTGACGCTACCGTACACCCACGCTCCGTTGTAGGCAATTTTGAAAAGCCTTGCTCTTAAACTGTCGACTACTGGGCCCCTTACCCTATAACGTCTAAATAATTATAGCTAAATTTGTAGACGTGTTTCATAAAGGTGCGAATTTTTGGGACGCAATTCCTGTGGACATGTCGGGCTCGACCCGGCTCGCCGCTCAGCGCTCTGTGTTGCATAGCCGCCCCTCGAGGTGCGGGACGCCGGGCTCCGCTGTCGGCTCAGCCGGCTCAGCCGTGGGGGTGGTTCCATTCACCATCCTTCAGCTGGCTGGTTGTCGAATTCGTTCTGCTCGGAGGGCGCGGAGCGCGTGCTGTGGTGCGCGGCAGTCGGCGGAGGCCTCGGCGGAGGCTGGCACCATCACGATCAGCAATACTGTTCTTCCCGCGGCCCGGTCGGCCGGCACTTCCCCTCAGGAAGCGGCCAGCAGAGGATGCCCGGCGGCTGTTCCCGTTGCAGCGGCCGTCCTGCGGTTTTCGGCAGCAGGACGACAGGATAAGGAGATCACATCAGGTCCCTGCGCTTCGGGGATGGCGGGCCTCAAGTAACTGGGCCTCTTAATCGCACCCTCGCCGTCGCTGTGATGAATGAGTGTAGCATGAAACGCCTGTGTACTAAACACGCTAAACCTATCTGTATGTTTTTGTGCAAACGTTCATGAGAAGTTATACCGACGTTTCGTACAAATTTTAGCTTATAAACGCATTATTTTATACAAATGAATTCAGAAAAAGTGATCCAATGAACGCAGAAATGTGTCCGAAAAAATTGATTTCTGAAATTTGTACAAATAAAGGATACAAATCCAGTTCGTGTGTCATTCATGATTTCTGTACAGTGGTCTGTATAAACGTTAAAGAAGCATTTTATCACACCCTTGTGGCTGGTGTGGTCGGTCAGGTCATCATCAGGTTTGGGAATTTGAAGTAACTACATGTAGAAATTAATTTAGTCCAGGGCAGGGGAGCAAATTGGTCCGCACACGGCACACGTGCTCACCATCCAACCGTCGCCACCACCACCGCCACCGCCACCACCACCACCACCACCACCACCCCAACCACTGCGGCCACCGTGCTCAACGGCGATTACATTTTGACTCCCAGCCGTTTCCCCGTTTGCCGCAGGCAGCGCTGCACAACTTCCTCAGTGCCCAGTGTTGTCTGGTCCCGTCCCGAGCCCCCTGCCCCCTCCCTGCCCCGCCCCGCGCAAGGTTAACGTGATGTAGTTTAGTTACGGCGGGGAGCGGCCCGGCCCAGCCCGGCCCAGGCCACTACTATCGTCGATACGACCCGAATCGCGTGGCAGTGGCCGCCGCCGCACCGACGCCACTACTCTCACTGGAGCGACCATTAGGACGTATATAGTAGCCCAGTGTCTCTCAACGGGTCCAGCTTTCCCGCCTCAGCACGCCACGGGAGCGCGTGGCCGGACT